CAGTTCACGATGACAGGTGATAATGTACTTTTCAAGCAGGCATAGGTTGCATCGCTTGCTGGCGCTGCTGTACGGCTTGGCACGTACTATAATGCTTCAAGTGATGGTGTAATCAACGCTGTTGTCTTTTAAGGACCAGATGTGTCTGCTGAGTTCCGTAGAATTCTTGGATCTTTCATTGCGGAATGATGCTAACGGTTCCGGTATCTGGTCTTAAATTCATTCGCGGTCAAACCGACATAGGATTCGGTGGTGTTGTTGTCCTTACGGGTGACCTTGGCTTGGTATATCACTGCACGCTGGAGACATGCGCCACTGAGAGAACATTCATGTTTCTTGCGGCAGTTGCATGTTTTGGTCTTAGTGGTGTCGGCGGAAGCACCGTTGTTGGTTTCGTCGTGAGATCTCAGAATTCGCTTGTTGTGGCTATCGATTATCTTCATAGTGCTGTCCAAGCAAGACCTGTTATTCCCTTTCCCCTCCGCGTAACTCCCCTTTCCCTTGAAGGACCTGTTTTTTTATTATTAGCTAGTATTGCGCAACAACTTCGATAGATTTGTCAAGCCCCCTTTAAGAAGCCGCCCCTACATGGGCAGGCAGAATTTCCCATTGTGACGGCAGGGATCCCAAGAGGGCTGCTACGCAGGCTAGATTTTGAGCTACGTACTATTTCTAACCTTGTATAATGATACCCTCTACTCGTGCAATTCCTATTAGCTAACCTATTCTACAAATCTGTATTCTCTATATTTTGATGCGACATGGTTTTACGGGGTTTACCATGACTTGAAAATGTGAAAAACATATCCCTTAGCAGTGAATATTTCCTACTGAACAGAAAAACAATATTCTTGCACCGGCTGTCCCTGGTAGCCCTGAATATCTCACTGTTAGAAGTCTAAGGCGAGTTGTTGACTACGAGCTGAAGGCTACCAAGTCATCTCAAATATAATTAAAATAAACAACAGTCTGCTTTAATTAAAATGTACCCAACGTTCGTAGAATTGAATGGTCTATATGGTTTTTGACGTTTGAGAATCATTACTTCATTTTGACTTACGTTTTTAAACATTATTTTAGCACATGGAGACGAGTTGAAACGAAGACTTGAAATCTTTACCACGACGAGACGCTCCACCGGACCAGCTTCCGTTGACTTAGGCGTAAATTCATAAATTATCCACCAGCAACTATAAATGTACAAATCAAAACTTAAAATTGATGGACAATAAAAGAGAAGAAGGCTACAAACTAACTAAAGATTCTCACCTCCCAATATCTGGCTCTCTGCATATGCAGGACAGTGTTTATACTGGCATCACGCCATATGTGTAAAGGCATGTCCTCTTTGAAATTAGAATACCCCTCCCTCCACTGGGGATACATGTTGATACAATGACTACAAAGCCAAATGAGCTTATTTTTGTCTGATTAACACTGGAAAAGTGCGTCCAGTTGTATGAATTTCAGTAATAAACGACAAAGGTTTACAAGGAAATTTTGACAAATCACGAGTCTTCAAAAATCACGTTTTGTCACAAAGACAACCTCGTTAACATAATTTATGCAGTATAAATTGACGTTGATATATCAGTCAAATGAACTGCATCAAATTCATACCTTTGAATAAAGGAACAGATAGGTGCTTGAAGCTGAGAGAATTTTCCCTAATCAAAATCCGTAACTAAATAAGGCACTATGACAAGGAAATTTTCCCTTATTAGCGATGTGTAACCTTTGAAGTGGCGTTACTGATCATGTCACAAATTACTCAGATGCGTGACACCTTTACAGGACCAAAACAGTTTGCATTGAGATTAACTACATCATAGTCTCCTTCGTAGCCTACTCTTTTGTCGGGCTTCCTGTCCCTCCCAAAAGAATTCTTTTCTTATTCTTTTGGGAGGGACAGGAAGCCCGACAAAAGGGTACGGCTGCGAAGGAGACTGACTACATCACATCAAGGGAAAATATGTGTATTTGCCACAATTTGAAACAAGGATGCACCATTTAATAGAGTTTTTCTGTATCCTCTGTTTTTCACAGACCTTTGTTTTTCACAGGTATATAAAAACAGTGATAATCTCCATTGTTATTGTAATGAATAGGCGTTAATCCACTATGAAGCGTCATTGGCGAAAAGTTATTTTTTGTTGCTGTTTTCGAACAGTGAACAACACAAAAACTCGCGTTACGCAAACTTTTTACAAGTTTAATTTAGTGCCCGAGGTGCATTTTGTAGCAACAATGAGCAAAATGTTATCTTTTTCACGAATCTCTAAAAGGGTACAGGCTCTCGTAGGAATGATAGTTCGTTTTTTTTTGTGTTTGACTCCTACCATCTTATCCAAATACAAGTTCTTTTTAGATTCCAAAGCCCAGGTTTTATTTTATGGTACGAAAATGATCAATGTAAACGTGCATTTCTGTAAGCAGAGTTGGTTTTGAAAACGCGATTTTGTGTGAAGGCGTATAAAGTTTAATATGTTTAATCTCCATTTGGGTCAACAATGTGAAAACGCAGACGTCACGAATAAGCGTTTCTTTTATCAGTACACACGTCCTGTCCATACAAAGCAGCTTGACTCCAACGGTTCTAAAGGATGGGTTGAAATGACTCCTAAACAATTGCTCTTTTGAAATATGCGTTTATGTGCGTTTGTGTTTACAAGCGTTTGGTTTAGAAACGTTTGAATTCACGAGCATTTTAGAGAAGTTTAAGATCGTATGTAAGCATTGGGGGGTTACGAACGCTGATGTTTACAAGCGTTTGCGCTTTTGAGAGAGTTTTTTGAAAAAGTACTTGATTCGGCGCATATCATTATGCATTTTGAGTGACAAACTTGAGTCCCTCGTATCCGTGCGGCTAAATGCAGCTGTGGACTGATTTTTCCAGCATAGTGCGGACGGAGCTTAAGTTGTCTCATCCATGCTAGAGAAATGTGAAAACGAGAATTTCACATTCTAAAGTTTTCCATCCACATATGAATAGTACCGTTTTCGGATAGGAATTGCCCTATCGCATAATTACGTCACACCTAAACATTCCATGGTAACGCTAAGGGGCACGCTAAGAATTATGGTCGCCAGAGG